CGATACTTGCATATTCTTTCTTCGAACGTACTTAGGTCAAATTTATCAGCTTCATGGCTTTAATTTATGGAAGTTTCTGCAATTTCTAACAGTGAAAAAATAATTTCTGAGAGATCCTGAAACTTTTTGTGAAATATGTCTATCAAATGGTAATTTATGATCGAATGTTACCCCTAGGTCTTTGATCTCATTACATCTCAGCAGATCTGAATCCTGCTTACATATGGGAATATATAAACCTCTTTTTTCCGACTATAACTCACTACTTCAGAATTCTCCACATAGAGTTTCAATTCATTATTGCTACACCAAGCAACAAGAAATTCTAATTGATATTGAAGATTTACACAATCACCTACTTCCTCCGCGAAGCTAAACTTTCACATAAGTCAATAACGAACAATGAAAACAAGAGAGGACCTAGGTTGGAACCCTGAGGCACATCAAAAGAAGTTACATATGTTCTAGATTTATAACCGTTATAGGACACGAATTGTTTTTTACATGTCAGATAGGATTGCATCAGCTGACAGGCAGTATTCGAAAAACCGAAACTCATCAGTTTATTGAGCAAGATAACATGATCAATTTCATCAAATGCTTTAGAGAAATCCATGTATATAACATCAACTTGGCCATTGTTATCTAATGCTTCGGAAATAAATTGAGTAATAATGACTAGATTTGTAACAGTAGAACGCTTAGTAACAAAACCATGTTGATGTTGAGATAGTTGCCGTTGAACACAAGCATATATGCGATTATATAAAATGATATAAGGACCTGAAGTGAGGAGTGCACGAATGTGGTTGCTGCAATCACATATTATATATTCCCAATGGGATATTACGTTTTCAAATTCATTGAGTTTCACTTCAACTCATTTGGAATAAACACATAGTACAATGAAATGGAGATTTCAAATGGTATGTTATTCACAACTCCCATGAAACTGTTTCATTACCAATATTTCCAAATGAGAATCAATGATCCCATTCAACTCCGGGGTTATATTACAGTAAGAACACTGAAAGTTTTATTCGCGCTATTACTTATCAAACGCGGTTTTGTTCTGTGGAATTTATAGCGTTTCATGTTCTATAAAAGGAAAATATTATGGCTCGGATCTGAGGTTTCCTTACGACTTTTTTTTTGCGGAAATAATACCCAGATTTATAGTCACATGCACCGAAAGAAATAGATGGAGGGATTCTGCTGACTTTTTAATTGTCTCTAAATTGTTATATGGCTCGGATCTGACAGGTATTACTTCGACATCATTATTTCAGTTGATTGCATCTAGAATGTCATTTAGAAAATGAAAAAGTCTAGCGTAACATCTCGATGATTTTTCAATATGAGTAGTGATATTTACCCAGCCTTCTTTCATCCAGTTGTACCACCCACTCCAATTCATACATAAAAGAAAAAATAACTGACGTGAAACATCCGGCAGCTGGTAGAAAAATATATAACTTCAAGTCTGACGATTTGAAAATTCAAGAGGAAAGTTCATCAGAAACTGTCACAATCTGTCTACTTTTTTTATACTTCTTCATGTTTACATGGAAGGAAAACATATAGGGGAGATTTGAAAACATGCTTGGACTGTACTAGGGTGGTCTGAGAAGTTTTCGATTTCAACATGAAGAGAGCAACATTTTTTAATAAAAGCTAGTGAATATAGTTGTTCATCTGTTGACAGTTATTCACCAAATTTTCAGCCATTTTGGACGTGCAGTTGTTATGTAACATTCGTTTTGTGTAGGTTCATGTGAGTATATTTATGAAAATAGTCGAAATCGAGTATAGAGCTGTCACTAAATATTTGTTTTTGAAAGGCAATACGCCTATGCAAATCATAGATGAAGTGGATTCTGTATATAGGGACACTGCACTACACATTTGGATTCCAGGACATCAGCTGCGGCTGATGTCCTGGCATCAGCTCCAGAAGAAGGTTGCATATCAATATAGAATTGATTTCGAATTGAAGTGAAACTAACCAAGTATTCTCCAAAGAGATGAATGTCTCAGAACCGAATATTATAATGTCAGGACAGACAGTTCCGTTTGGAACCAGAGAACTGTACACACCTCAGTAACTTTTGATGCTTCAAAGAGCTCAGATCAAACCTTATTTGGAGTATTGTTACCAAGTATGGAGCTCCGACCCTAAGCATACCCTGAAACTGCTGGATTCCATCCAGAAATGAGTCATTCGTCAGATTGAAGACGCGAACATCACTGGCAACCTTGATAATCTGTAATATTGAAGAAAGGTTGGGGATTTGTCTCTCATCTATAAATACTTTTACGCGGAGAGTTCCACCAAGAGCGGCATACACAGAAATACGCGACGGACTGTGGCTACTCATCGTTTTGTGGTTCAGCTCAGTACACCTAAAACTCCACTGTTCAAGAAGTCTCCCATTCAGAGAATTGCGTTCATGTGAAATGAACTTCCTGAAAACATTTTTCCAGATGGATTTTATCTTTTAAATTCAATGTGATTCGGTACTCTCGCACTGGCCCCGCTCCTAAAGCGCCTGTAGTGCTTGTGTTTTTTCTTAAAAAAATTGATAAATGAGTCGTGAGGATATGACTAATGAATATATTTTCAAATATGGTCTATTTTTTATATACTTTTCCTTCGAGTAGACAAATTGAATGAATAATAGTGTATTTCCTAGAGTTATCTACTAAGTTTCACTGCAGTATCAGTAGCGTAATATTCCAATCTCACCCAATGCTAGAAAAAATCTCATTATGCATTGCTTTCATCGTAACAGTCATAGTCTCTTGAATTTCGTCTTCGATACTTTCCAAATGCATGAATGCTTCCAATATATCACACATTAGATTCGTCAAACTATTTGATGTCCTCTGGAAATTTCCTCTTCCAATTGATTCGAATCGATATGTGGATGATACATCATTACTTTTTTTCGTTTCTTATCATAACAATTTTTTTCCGTTTTTGTCATTGTCCATAATGTTAGACATTTCGAGACATTGTCGAAAAAATTAGTCAATAATAATTCTCTCCATGCATCTGAGATTGAAGTAACGGCTCAAAGATATACGTTTTGATAGTAAAATTGAGTTTTCTCTAGAGAACATTTAGCACGGACGGCGGATAATGGTAATAAATATACAATTGTTACGGTCAAGGAACGTAAAGACTGAGTGGAATTCCTTGTAGTTGTCGAGCAGAAGCTGACCTGAATGACTATTACGTGCAAAATAGTTAGTTCCATCCATGCCCATCGCCTCTGAAGTGAGGTTTCACTGGAGGTCACATCTTTCCAGAGTTGAAAATGACTATATAATAAAAATCCGAATGGTGCACTTTTTCGTGCACTATTTGGATTTTTTTTGTTTGCATCTCATTTGTAATAATCATCATATCATGACAGGTGGTCTAAGTACAGCTATACCATTGTGAACAGATATACAATAGTTCAAAATTACTTCAAGCTCCTTCATCAATAGGTTAGGTAAGGTCCAAAGTGAGTGAGTTTATTCGACCCTCCTCCGCAACTCGCAAGGGTTTATTGTGGCTCACACTTATTCACACTCGACCAAATAGACCCAGCTTCTTAACGAAGTCGATTAGTTTGTATGGTGAATGGTCTTTTAGGTCAGATAGTAAAAGTGCGCCTCTGCCGAACTCTAAAAACCTGATTCGGTCCCCAGCGGGGCAGGCACAACGTATATGCTCTGCTGTTTCATCGTTGATGAGGTAGTCGAATAGTCAAGGTGCAAGATTCCCACCTTGATACCCGCGACAACCTTCCCATATGAGGATTTTTGCACGTCAGCAACACCTGACGATGCCTTAGATTCAATCGTGCAAAAACCAAAACCAAGTCTTTTTCACCTCTGGTTTTGGTGAATCATCACTTGAACGCAAACGTTTGCTAACCTCCTCATGGGGGGTTTATTCCTCCACCTGAGACAGATTCTGTGTATGCCACTCAAGAATTTGGTTCAAGGCGGTTTTATAAGGTACCCCGCTCTTGAGGAGACGCCTCAGTCATTTACTGGCTGCACCACCAAATGTTATTTATAGGTTCAGTTATTGGATCAGGAGTTGGGGAATTGAGAAGCTGTTGCTCCAGAACTGAGTTTACGACAATTGGAGTCGTAAACTCGTCATCCATCTCCTCTGTAAACTCGCTTCTGAACTAAATTCACAGGAAGGTTAGTTGAAGTTGTAAACTTGACATCCATCTCCTCTGTAAACTAGCTCATGAATTACATTTACAGGGAGGTCAGTTGGAGTCGTAAGCTCGACATCCATATCCTCTATAAACTTAGCGTCAAAAAGTATTTTTAAGTTTACTCTGTCCATAAAAGTCCAACGAGTAGCTTAAGAAAGAAGGTTAATCACGGCAGAGCCCTGTATCACCGTTACAAGGCGATGCTACGACGAGAGGGCGCCCGCTATGTCGAAGGTTCCGTAGCGATAGCTGATAGGCTCAATGTCATTTTTCCTCTCGGCATGGATACACACACCTTAGGACTAAGTCATCGTTAGAATGCCATTCAGTTAGGAAAGCAGGCATACGATGGCTAGCTTGCTCAACCCCCACATCCCAAGCCAATGCACTCGCCAAAAACAACATGCACAATGGTTCAGGCAGTGGAAGACGAACAAGGACAGCCAATCCGCTCTTTATTAGTAATAAAGAATCCAATTAATAATGAAGATTAGTTGACTCGATATCCACTTTTCATAAGGTCAGTCTCTATTTTGAATATACCGTTTACTCCAAAAGCAGAAAATTTAAAGTTCACAGTCTTATCGAATGAGAATAAATTTCATTAACATAGTTCCAATAATGATAATATGAGAGAAATAATAATATAATTATAATACAGCCAGCTATCAATGCACAGCCAACTGAAAATAGATCCCCATTCAAAGTCCCAATACTAAGCAAACTCCCGAATATTTTTGAATATTTTTCTTTACAAACTCATAATGTTTTCAGAGGCTCCCGAATCCCCGAAAAGTTGCACACTTCGAAACGCGTCACATGGAGACGGTCTAGAAGTATCGTGTATTGCAGGAAAGGACGGAGGTCTGCATCAAAGTTTTGTTCTGGAAGTTTCAGACACTTCCGCTCCTCACAATCCTGCAGGTATAACAACCCTCAGCGATCAAGGTCAGTATACAAACTTTACTACAGAGGAATTTTTCTTCATGATACTGGAGTTGGAGAATTATTATCTGAATATCACATTTCCTATTTTTGTTTTGTATTTTTTGATAGTGAGAATTAGGACGTGAAATGAATCTAATGAAAAAAAAAATCCCATGTCATAACTAAAACACTGCTTGTCAACACGCGTTTTGCAAAGCGACTAATCATCAGGTAATTAACTGAAACTAAATTCTCAAAACCAATTAATTTACTTTGATATTCATCTGGATATAACTTTGATGGAGGAAGTCATTGAATGATTGTAATTGAATGTGGTATAGATAATGTGTTTTGTGTCTCAATTACCAAAAGGGTCCTGCTTATCAGAAGGACACCAAGCGACATCTGTGTAGTTTCGAAAAAACACCTTCTAAAGTTGCAACATTGCAGACACTCACTTAATTACCTTCAAATGACAATATTTATTCATGATTGAAATGAATAATAATTAAAATTTTCTGTTCTTCTAGCCAAAGCATTTCTAGATTTGAATTGAAATTTGATTGCGTTTTTTTCAAACTCTCAATCTGAATCTTAATTTCTTTTGATTTATCATTATTGTTATGAGTTCATTTAAAAAAGATACTGAAAGGCTCTTCTTTTGTTATTTTTATAACTTTGGTTTTGAGCCAACTAACATTTTCTTTGTTTTGGAGTTGTTTTCTGTTAACACCTGCACGTTCTATTGCTTGTACCGACAAAAAGTCTTCTTTCTTCATTTCTGTTACGGTTAATGGTTTTTCATGTCGGCAATGCTTCATTATCTTTATGTAAGTAATCATTACCAGTATAAATCCTTCGATTCATCTTTATTGCCTTTTCAATAAACTATCTGACCATATTCTCAGCGATTTTGTGTTTGAAATGAGATGATTTTCAATGAACTTCTTCGGTACAGATCCAACTTCCTGGAACCTCACTCAGGTGTCCCCTCTTTCCATACGAAGCAGTATTCATTTTTTCACAATGGACACCTTTATCGTTCAGCCAGAGTTGCCTTTTATAGGAAACTAGATTTGTGGGGATATTAGGCAGTGGTAGAGTTTTTTCCATGTTTTATTACGGCTTCGACAATTGCATCTGTAAATTTGTTTTTGCCTCCTTGTTGCTCACCTCTCCCATCTCTGATGGTTCCATCTCTCAATTTCGAAACAGCAGTGTTGATTCTCTCAGATGAAATCCTTAAGCTTATTTCAAAATAGTTTTGCACAAAGTCTGGTTTTATAAATGGTATAACTTAATATGAGATCGGTTCTCGGAATTTTAATAATGAGATGATTTTCAATGAACTTCTTCGGTACAGATCCAACTTCCTGGAACCTCACTCAGGTGTCCCCTCTTTCCATACGAAGCAGTATCCATTTTTTCACAATGGACATCTTTATCGTTCAGCCAGAGTTGCTTTTTATAGAAAACTAGGTTTGTGGGGATGTTAGGCAGTGGTAGAGTTTTTTCCATGTTTTATTACGGCTTCGACAATTGCATCTGTAAATATGTTTTTGCCTCCTTGTTGCTCACCTCTCCCATCTCTGATGATTCCATCTCTCAATTTTGAAACAGCAGTATTGATTCTCTCAGATGAAATCCTTAAGCTCATTTCAAAAAAGTTTTGCACAAAGTCTGGTTTTTTGAATGGTATAAGTTATTATGGGATCGGTTCTCGGAATTTTAACCTCTTTTCCGTTCAATGTCTTCTTCTTTGATATTGGCTGCAATGAACGAAGTTTGTGAATCATAATTCGCTTGTTTATGAAATTCATCAAAGATATTTCCTCTGTCATCGTCTGAAAAAAGTGTATGACACCTCTTCTTGCATGAACATTCGTAATTCTCAATAAAATATTTTGAATGAACAGGTTTTTATTGCTGTGTTGAAGCTTATTTTTTGTCTTAAATGTCTGACCTATACATTTTTTTCCTCACCTTCTTCGGTCGTCCTGTGGAAGTTTCCATTATGTTTCCATCATCTTCAAGTTCATTTTCAGGCATGGGAATGCAGTCAAGATCATCTGCAACTTCTACTTCTACTTCGAAATTTAGTCTTCAAATACATATCACATATTTTCGATATCAAACAGTTCTTCCTGATTATTAAGTGTCTCGTCAAGTAGTATGGAAGAGTCGTGAAAGGTAGCGATCTCCAGCAGAGATTCTTTCAAGAGGAGAAATATGTCAAAATCTAACAAATGGTTTCATCAAAATTCTATGGATATAAAACTTCATGGAAATATCGATAATAATAAAATTCACTCACCCTTTTGGCATCTTCAATTTCGGGTTCTTTCCTGTTTTTTCCTTCTTCGGAATCTAATGCCATCTGTACTAATTTTCTTCCGCGATTCATGACTTCTGATCAAAATATACCGTCAATACACTGTCGATAAAACACTGGTTGCCGTTAATGATAATAATCATTCACCAAATATAGATCGGTGATTACTGAATATATAAGTGACCTGAGAATACAACCCCAGATAAGTGAAAATGTGGAAAAATAGTGAATTCCTTCATGAACGATTATGAACAAACCTAACCGACAGTGTAACTAGGAAGTGAACAATAGTCAGAAGAGAACCGAGTCACAAGGAAGAGTCCCAGCGATATTGCAACTCGTTTCGTTGAATATCGAATCGGAACCATGCATTTGGGTCGTTTCTGATTCATTATGTATCTGCAATGATCCACTTAGATCCCAGTGCAAGGTCATTATTCAAGTGAAAATACACATCTGGCTCTTGGATCCGTTCAGAAACATGACCCAAGGGGTCATATAGTGACATAAACTCATTTCTACAAAAATGTCGCTTGGTCCCTTTCTGATAAGCATTATCCTATTGAAGATATGTTAAAAATACTTGTTATGAATCCTTATATTTTTCTAATTGTAATTTTTACTTGAGAGACTAAACAACGTGCATTGTGAAATGAAATATTTGTCACTGTTATTGATTTCATTCCACATTTTCCGATTTCTGATCTTCCAATGTCCTTTGAAAGCGTGTTGCCATATGCTGGTTAGTCTCAGTTTTTCTTGAGTAACATTCAAAATCTTGAGTTGATTCTGAGTGAAATTCGAAATCCAAAACAAAAAATCAATTAATTTTTGCATTAAAAGTTATATAACGATTCCGAAATTTCACTAGAACATTGCATACACTCACAATGTAATCAAAACTAATGTACAGAAATGAAAAATTGATGAAATTCCTCACCAGGAAAAAAACCATTATCAGATTGAATTTTAAAATATGTCTACAGGTGATCTTCCGCCTCCAAAATACCGTGTTCTAGGCGAACGCCCTGTATTTCGACTCCACAGTTTGGAGCCAGGAAGAGAATACCAAGTAGCTGTGTATGCTGAGAACGCTAAAGGAAAAAGTACACCCCCTGTAGTTTTACCTAATGTTCGAGTTGAATCGGATGTGACATTTGAAATATCTGAAGACGAAGGTAGGTGAAACTGTTAGTATTCATTGATGTTCCATATACCCAATCATTAATGAATTAACCAGAGTAGGTATGAATCAATTGAAAATTTGAATATCATCATGAACATTTCACCAATTCATTGAATCGACATGTAATAAACTAATTACCCATCTTCAAATCTGAAAACTGATTAAGGAGACGTGAAGGATTCAATTATATTCATTAACAACCATATTTGATGAAGACAATGAAAGTAATTCACACTGTGAAAGCCATGCACCTAGATGTAAATTTTATGGCTGTCAGTTTTTGTGCTGGTAAAATAAGGAGTGTATCACTGTTGAACTCAATTTTAGTGGCCTAGATTTCAAATCGTCATAATATTATCGGTTTGAAAAAAATAACAGTTCGAAGATATATTTTATCAACATGGCTTTTGAATAGTGATGGTAGTGGTGTTCTCTAACACTTAGCTGATTCGGCTATCCGTTTCGAAAAATAAAAAAATTATAATACGGTTTTATTGAAAAAAAAATTGATTATGTTTAAAACTGAAAAATATTTCAGAGGGTTCTAGGTAGCAATCGTGTAGCAATCTAGATAGCACTACCTCAGCAATCCACGGTATTGATCAGATAAAAAATGAGATGAGTATCTGTATAATTTGTAATTCTGTAAGGTGTAGTTCATGAAATTAATATGGGTCTTCATCAAGTAATGGCTGAATTAATCAGAAGGATGTTTTTATAAAAGTCCTTAAATTGTTAGAACCTATTTTTTAACTTCATTTCCTATAGTCTCGTGTCGAAGATGAAATAATGAATTGCGTAGTTTATAGACAAAAGCATTTTCAACATTAAATAAAATCAAAACATTGAAAGACTTGCCAATTTCAGAATTGAAATCAATTTCAACTGATATATAAAGCAACATGCAATCTCTCATTATATTTGCTACTGACAAATTCATAACCATATTATCGGAAACTTTCCATATCAACCAGATTGTATGTCTCAAAGTTTCTACACAGAAACAATTCCTTTCATTCATTGCATATTGTAAAATTATTAATGGATGTATAAATAACCCGGGCATTTCGAATAACTTTATATAGTCTATTCATTCCCAATTGGAACGTCAATAAAAATAAGAGTACAGTCATAAACATTTCTTGCCTGTGGCCCCTAGTCGCCCAGATAGTTAGTAAACATGCTATCAAATATAGTTGAGGAGTAAAGGGTCGGCTAACTGGACTGTCTGAATACAATTTTTTTGTCCGTTTCACAATATTTCTTTATCAGTGCCGTGTGTTTGTGGGATTAGGTGAGGTAGTGAGTGGTTTTGCAAACCGATTTTTGAAAACTTTTTCCAGAGATCAGTTACCCTAATACCAAACTGATATTTTTGCACTCGACGCGCGTTTCGCTAACAATGTTAGCATCTTCAGGAGAAGCAAATTGATACTGAGTCTGAAGACAATGGTTAGCTGTTACCTAAAGTTTTTTGGTACGATGTGGACTCTGTTTGTTGAATGATGATTATCCTAATTGATTTTTCTATGTGCAAAATTCCATAAACTCGATCGTTATTCAACCCGATGATGATTCCACCTCATCCGAATATAGCGAAGAAGAATTTTGATTTTTTCAGCAATTTTGTTGGCCTCCATTATTTCATAAAAATATGTTTGATGAGAATTCGGTGTGATTATTTGTGTTTTCATTGTATTTTAGAGTTTTTGACTCGGAAATCAACTACCTTAAATTACCCATGGTGGAAAAATTCAGTCGAGATAACTTTTTCATGGGGTCATCAATTGCTATGATTGTAAAAATAAATAACTGAAAAACTACCACTGAAAAATAATATGATTGTTTCAATTGGTATTGGAAATACTATACTAGTTTAAATGATAATTGTTAATTTGAAGTATATTTTGGCGAAGGAGACGTTGGCGGAGGATCCGTTGCTAATATTTTCCGCCAAAAAATTGAAACAAAATATTTTCTAACCATTGTCGTATTGAGGAAGAGACTAACTAATACATTTATTTTCCTCAAATTGATATAACATATAGGAATAGTCACTTATAATATAAAGAATAAACAATTCTTCCAATGTATAAAAAGCATTGTCGAGTGTTTTAGGAATCACACGTTAAAAGGTAAGACCTCGTTATTACTTAGCTCGCACAAGTTTCTCAACTTCTGAGAGTTGTCATTCGTTTGGTCAGATTTTAAACATATTCTCAAGCGAGTTTTAAAAATAGTAATATTGGCGGAACTAACTATTTTTTTAGGTAGTTTATTTAAAATCCTTTCAAATATTCAGAAGATTTCGGAGATACGACATGTTTACAGTAGGGAATGTGGAAATCAGCGGAATTCCTCGTATTATAACTATGGACTTGTTGGATTCTAGTACACTTATTTTTATTTGTGTATACGTATACACACATTTCTAAAATTAAAATACTTGTCATTGTTGAAATTTTTCATTCTTTAAAAATCGGTCTACAGGATGCTTTGCTTGGGGTATCGCAAATAATTTTTAAAATGCGTTTTTGTGCAATAAATACGTCTGGTGCTCGGGTGGAAACACCCCAGGAACATGATATATCGTAATCGGGAGGCCACTTGTGCACGATATTATACGAATAATTGTTTACGTTACAAAATAATCTTAATATTTCGAAACATACAACATAATGAGTTCAATTTTGAAATCAAATTGGTACAATGTTCTTTCCAGTTTGAACCAGCGTCTATAGTAATACCAAGAAATTCAACTGATAAAGTAGGCTCAATCAAGATTTCATCAGTTTTTATTGTTACAGTTTCGCATTGTTTTTGGTAGTTGTGAAATCGAATTATATTTGTCTCATTACTGTTGAAATAGAGAGACACCATGAAATGTTACGGTTACCAACCGTAGTTGTACACTTTTGTTTCAAGCTATATTATCAAAGGAATGTTTTCTCGTACGATTAGTCGAATCAGATACTATATTCTAAGCCATTTTCGCAGGATTGTTTGCATTGAATATTTCACTATGGTAGTAGGAGCGCTCAGTTTCAGTTAATAACAATTCATGTTGCTTCTTTGCAGATGCATGCAAATCCGAAAGAGAAATGACAAGGACAATAACTGGCCTATACAAAATTCTCAAATCTCTCTGATAATTCGTCCTACGAAACACGTGTATACCGTTCCATTTACAGCTCTTGCTGTAGACATGCAGAACGCGTATTCGGTTATTGTTAGTGTCTCCTTTAATTAAATTAGCCTTTTCCCCAGCGACCTTCCGCTCTTCTGGAGGGTTGCAAGGGGCACTTCAAACTCGACATCGAAGGTTTACCGCTCTGCTGTTGGTGCTCAGTTCCACCGCTTTGTCCCTTGTTTTACCATGCATCTGCCAATGTAATGACTCGTTAAGATATATGTATATCGTGTGGAAAGGGACTCTTGATGGTTGGGAGTGGTTGAAACCGAATGGGAATGTAAACGATACCTAAATAGATTCTTGACATTTCCCCTCCCTAATGATTAGCGGACGATACATTCTTACGGGGGAATTACACTCACATGTAAAATTTTTCAAATTCCTTATATTTTTCAAAATGAAACTGATGAAACTGGTTTCTGAGGAAAGTGAATGTCAGTTCCTATCAACATGCTATTGAGTTAGGTGATGCTGTACAGCGTGTTTCGGTGTTTTTTGGATATTATTCGGTGCTAAAGAAGAATTTCATTTTAATTTCGAAAAACTATTTATGTCCTCATTCACTCCTCATTATTACCCAACCATTGTGATTTCAGTATTTTCTACCGAAAAAAATCTGCTTTTCAAAACAATAGTACCCTGGGTTTCGAAAGTCTGTCCATGTATTCTACCATGGGAAATAAACTTCTACTATGGAAAATAAACCTAGGCTACTCAAAGTTAGTCTCAAATCACGAGAAGATACTTTGAATATTTTAAAAAACAGCCGAATTAAATTACCAAACCTACGAACAAAGAGGCATCGGGAATACTACATGAAAATGAAGAGTCAGCTGCAAGAAATGGAAAAAAATGGTGATTTCTCATAAACAATTAAATATGTTGACAATAAACCTATTTTAGTAAATAAAACTATGATGGCTACATCAAGAAACAAGTGAAGCTTCCTAATATACAGTATCATAGTGATATCATTTATTTGAACATTCAGAGTATCTTAGCAAATAAAAACGAGCTTATAGTAAGAATCTTATGTTTTAATCCTGTTTCAGTGCTATTAAGTAAAACCCGTACAACTGGAGATATAGAGGATTCAGAAATTTATCTCCCAAACTATAATTGTGTCCGTTGTGATTTGATGTCCAGAGACACAGGAGGGGTTATACTGTATATAAGAACAGATATAAAATTTTCGATATATAAAACATTTATACTGGTGTAGAGCTGTAAGGGTTACTTCAAATGAACAAATCTACATAATTGTCTGTCTTTACCACTCGCCAAATTCCAGTCATTCTGTATTCCTGAGTGATTTTGAAAATATGTGTGAAACTTTGTTTAATCCCAAATATAGAAGTTTATTTGCTGGAGACTTCAACTTGAATTTCCTTAGTGATGAATATTGTTGCACAAAAATGAAAAACTATGTTGAACATGCTTGGAATTGAACAAACTGTAACTCAAATAACCAGGTGTTCTCAATAAAGCAATACCATTGTTGACTATGTACTCACCAATTTTGATGTTAATACTGTCGTTCATGATTCCCCAAAGTTAACTGATCATTCATTAATAACAGTCAGTTTGAGTAATTGCAATATAAATGTAGCACAAAATATCACAAACACATACAGAAACCTCAATGATTGTAATATGGACAGGATTGACTTGAGTTTGATGTCATGTAACTTTTTGTTGAGCTGTGTTGATATAGATATATTTTATGAAGACTTCAAAAGTCAGTGTGAGTCAGTAGTTGACTCAATTGTACCAAAAAGATCATACACTTTGAAGTCAAA